CCCTACAGAAATGCTAAAGATAGCCTTTCAAGTTGAAATAAAAGCTAGGCAGCAAATCAAGGCATTTTGAAAAAGCAAATATCTCTAAAAAATAAGTAGTTGGTAATTTAAAAACCAGCAGTATTATAATTCTGATTTGTAACTTCACTTTTTTTTAAAGACATTTTGCCTTAGGGTACATGTGCTCACTAGAAAGAGACAAAGACAGTGAGAGGGAAAGTGAGAAATCGCTCCGTAGGGGTGATGGCCACGCTGCAATCCCTTCTACTCCTGGGATCTTGGGCACGCACACCTGACATGAGTTTCAAGACACCAGATCCAGGACTCAACCCACAGTAGGACATGTGGGAGTTCAGCATCGTACCCACTATGCCATCTGCTGGCCCTGTATCCTCACATTTTCTGTCTACAGAATTCAAAAGACAAATGCATTAAAATAATTATAAATGTATGTATTTAAGTGCACTATTAGGTTGACAACAGAAATACCTGAAACTAGGTGATTCACAACTCAGTTTAGAGGTTCCAGATCATGGGCCAAAGTGCCCGTGACTCGAGACTGGGTGCTGTTGGGCAGAGAGGTAACGTAAGCACACCAGGACCAGTGAGCATGCTGGGTACAAAGTGCCCGTGACTCGAGACTGGCTAGACTGGATGCTGTTGGGCAGAGAGGTAACGTAAGCACACCCAGGACCAGCATGCTGGTTACAGAGTAGCCGGGACGCTGTTGGGCAGAGAGGTAACGTAAGCACACCCAGGACCAGTGAGCATGCTGGGTACAAAGTGCCCGTGACTCGAGGCTGGGTGCTGTTGGGCAGAGAGGTAACGTAAGCACACCCAGGACCAGTGAGCATGCTGGCTACAAAGTGCCCGTGACTCGAGGCTGGCTAAGGTGGGAGGTGAACCGTGGCGTGAAGACCCTGTTGTGGGTGACTGCCTGCCTGCCTCTCTCTTTCAGGAGAAATAAACAAACATTACAAACGAAAACAAATTCTGAGAGAATCCATCTAAAGGGCATTAGCAATTACGTAGATAATTATTAAAAACAGTGTATTCTTCTCCTTTCTTCTCTGAACTGATTTAAGAAACAGTTGCATAAAACAACAATTACAGAATTGCATTTTTGGGTTTATAACATATAAAATTAATAAATATGACAATGCTAGCACAAAGGAGGTAGGAAGGGTGTAACAGTATTAGAATAAAAACATTACACTAATCAGTAATTTAAATCCACAAGAAAAAAAGGAAGACTACCAGAAATGGTACATAATTATGCTAATATAAGACTCAGGTATTTTTTTTTCTCTTCCTAGCTTTTTTTTTTTTTTTTTTTAACTTTTTTCAATTGGGTGCATGTACTTCCCACAGATAAAGCAAGAGAGAAGGTAGAAACCACCCCCCACCACCACCCAGGGGGATGGCCACACTGCAATCCCTTCTCCTCCATTCTCCTCTTGGAATTTAGGGCACACACACACACTCACGTGGCATGTTTTCGAGTTGCTGAGTCCAGGACTCAAACCACGCAGTCGGCTATGTAATATCCAGCTGCCTTAACTATCCCGCCACCTGCTGGTCCTCCTCCTACCTTCTTTAACAAGACATAGAGCCGTACACAGCAACACTTGTATCACTGCCTTGTTGAGATCACAATACAGACACAATATATGGGACAGTAACAGCACAAAGAGGGGAGGAAATGGAGGTGTATTAGAACAAAGTTCCTCAGAGCCAGAAGGTGGTATGGAAGTTAAGGGGCTGGATTCCCACACAACTAACTACAATTCAAGTCCCAGATCAGGTGGCTTGAAAATCACACAGGGTACATGTGTGTATGTGCCCAAAATCCTGAGAAGAAAATGGAGGAGAGGGAACTGCGACAGGTTTATCCACCCTGTGAGGTGATTTTCCACTTTCCCTCTCTTTATCTCTCTTTATCTCTCTGGTGAGCTCATGTACCCTATGGCAAAAACCTAAAAAAAAAAAATTAATAATAATAATAATAATAATAAAAGAACAATGTTTCTAAGCCAGTCCTGTGGACTAGTGGTTAAGGAAACTGGGTCCCACATCATTGACTGTTGACTGAGTGGATCAAATCCTGGTACCAGCAGCTTAAAAAACACATCAGCTATGTGTGTGTGTGTACATGTCCAAAATCGCAAGCAGATGGAGAAACAGAAAGAATTGTGGCATGCCCACACCCCCGGGACATGCTTTCTCACTCTACTTTTCTGTCTCTCTCTACCAAGCACATGCAACCTATGCAAAATTTAATGAAGAACAAAGTTTCCATATTTTACTGGAATTCACCTAGTAATTCACAGTAAGCTGTGATAAGATTCATAGTGTAACCCCTGGAGTAGTCATTAAGAAAATAACTCAGCAAGTCGCAAAAAAAACAAACTAAAAATCAATCAAGGAATTTAAATGGTACCCTAGAATATCACCTATTTAATAAATTTCACCTATAAGCCAACAAACCCCAAATATAGTCCTAGCTAGGACCTCTTCTCTAAAACTGGATCCCCTTCTGACATCTGCTTGAATAACCTCTGTCCAACGGTTATGTTAAATTTAACATATCTAACCTAAACTCTTCTGGTCCCGAGTTACTCTATCTACAGTCTTTACATCTCTGCAAGAGGCGAGTCTATCCTCTCAGTTACTCAGGCCAAAAACCGCGAAGTGATCCTTGAGTCTTCTCTTACTCTCATACCGTGCTCTAATCCATCAGTAAGTGCTGTTGCCGCTACCTCCAGAAACACTCAGAATTCATTACTACTCACCCCCTCCATCGCTATGACCCCCATCTAAGCTACATGCGTCTCTTACCTGGGTAACTGCAAGAATGTCTCGCATCTCCCAGCTTCTGACCTGCCCCTCAGACACGGTCTTCTCAAGAAGCTACCAGACTGAGCCTTTTTAAGACATTACACCATCTTCCTCTGTGCAAGACCTTCAAGTGGGCTCTCATCACACTTGAACCCCAAATCTCTAATGGCCTCTGTCTGTCCGTCAAGCTCACACGCATGCTCCCGGCTCGGACCATTTGTTTCGGTGGCTCCTTCTGCCTAAAAAGCTCTTCCCACAGATAACCACATGATTCACTCTCGTTTCGGGTCAATCAACTCTTTGCTCAAATGTAACTTTTTCAGTAAAGTCTTCATGGCTACCTCATTTAAAATTTCCATTCCTACCCTACCACTTCTCTTCCCTATTTTTTCCTCAAGTACTGAGAGCCTTTCAATACAGTATACAAGTATAGTCTATAATTTGTGTATTCTGTGCTCTTTCAAAATATGCTACATGAAGACAGAGATTTTGTTTAGTATTCTCCCCTTTATCTAGAACACAGTGAGCACTCAATAAATATCTACAAATTAGTGAGAGAAAATAGAAAAGTGAAAAGTGAAATAGGAAATAGAAAAGTGAAAGTGACCTTAGTTTTCTTTTGAAATCTCTATAGTATCTTTAAAAAAAAATCTTTTCAAAACACATAAAAATAAAGTTAGAAAGCATGCAAAATTTGAAACTATTTCTTACCAAAGTCCATTCTATCTTTTTGGTTTCTCTGAAGCAAACCCAAAAGGAGATTAGCCAAATAAGGTGATGTTTCTCTGGGAATGCTGGGGGAAAGGAAAAACAAAACAACCTGAATGGTGAGTTAATAGAGGTTATAACATCAGTTTTGCCTTCATTATGGTAACTGAAAATGTGCATGCAATTCCACAAATACTACACTTATACTAAGATGACCATGGTAAAGCCTCATACCATAAAGGGGAAAAAGCACTAAAAAACTGCCTTTGAGAATGGCACCAATTTAGAAGATCCTGGACTATATTTGCTGGGTTAGAATATCTGTAGAATAAAGAATTTCACAAGCGCAGACGATCTTAAGCCTTAACACAACTTCAACCTCATGTTTCAAGTTGCTATAAAGTTCTCTATTAGAAAAAGAGCCACCTCCAATTCTGGAAAACGACAGAGCTTAAATAAATACCAAGTGAAATAACACAACTTCCTAAATCCAACATGAAAATGGCAGGCAATAGAAAAATGAGTAATAGGGACATACATACCATGGAATAAAAACTATAAAAGGATATAAACTACAAACAAGGAAGTGCCAACCTCACTAGCGAGAATTAACTCAGAGTAAGTTAACAGCTATCGGGCCTCCGTGTGAAGCACCGACTGTTAACACCCTCGGTTGGTAAAAGGACGGAAGGAACATTCTCTTACACTGCAGCGATAACTGGGGCAGCCAACTCGAACTGCGTATCTTTCGTTCCAACAATTTTATCTTTGGGAGTCCATCCTAAAGCAGCATAGAAATGCACAAAGGTGTGCACTCTAACTTCACTAGAGTCTGTTGTAGTAATCAAAAAAGTAAAGACAGCAGAGATCTGACTAAGAAAAATATAGTTAATCTAACTAGGTCTTTATGTAGCCATTCAAAAGAACGCAGTGGCTCTCTGTGACAAACTGTGACAGTAACAAAGTCACTACAGCACAATCCACAGAGTAAGAGGTAATTTGTCCTAAACTATGTGTGTGTATAAACACATACATAAGCAAGCACTTAAACACATAAGAACTCCCCCAAAAAGATTTGGGAAGATGTACCACAAACTTTTATCCCTACAGGGCAGGGCAAAGCCAAGGAGAATCCTCTTTTCTACTCTATGCACATCTGTTCTGTTTGCACCTCCCTTCCCACAAGGAGCATGTGTAACTTCTGTAATTTTTTTCTTCTGAATTTACTTAGCATTTTATAAAAAGAAAGAAAATGGGATAGCCTATACAGGTAACTGTGATGTACCAGCAATTTTCTAAATTGTTAAAATAAAAGTTCTCATTCTACTGTCAATTGAAAAAAAAAGAACAGTAAGAGAAATACATAAAACAGAGTTCAAATAAATAACATGTGTTCACAAATAGTAAAACCCATTGTGATGTAAAAACATACTTAGGCATTAAGCTCCGATTTTTTTCGTAGAACATCCTTAGGTCTTGAGGACTATTGGCCTATTTAAAAACAAATGAACAAAAGGGTTAGTTTCCTTTTTTTGGAGAGGTTTTCACTATAGGGCGTGTGTGCTCACCAGAAAGACAGAGACAGACAGAGAGACAGAAAGCGAGAAATCACCCCCCAGGGGGGATGGCCACACTGCAATCCCTTCTCCTCCATTCTCCTCTCGGGATCTTGGACACGCACGCGCACATGCCTGCCCTGAGTGTAAGCCACCAGGTCTAGGACTTGAACTGTGGTCGACTACATGGGAGTCCAGCAATGTAACCATTAGGCCATTTGCTGGTCTCCAAAAGGGTTCATTTCCTAAAAAATGGGGGTAAACTTCCAAATCATACGGTGGATACTCATATTCCTGTTGCAGAACATAGATTCTGAACTTGGAAACCACGCACTTCAGAAGGAGCCATAGCTGGGTAGTAGGACTTGGAAGACCTGAGTGTGTGCTGATTCTGCACATCTAAGTATAAGGCACCTTTTCTGAGGCCACTCAGAGCCTGAAACCGGGGAAAGGTGAAGAACCACTATTTTGGAGGTTACTTGGCCTACTCAATAGGTACATGCTGTTAGATAAAATGTGGGTGTGTCTTACCTTAGGATCACTACGGGTCAAAGGCAGAAAACTCAGAACTAAGCATACTGCCACTGTTCAGTCTCCCCTCAGCACAAGTAGCACCCTTATGATATGAGATGCTAAATTAGTGAAGCCACATCTATCTATACACTATACTGGGAACTTAGAAGTGTTAAACAAGGTAAGGGGTCAGCAGATAACATGGAGGTTAAGGCGGCTGGACCCATATAGCCAACTGCCTGGTTTCTGTCCTGGATCCAGCAGCTTGAAAATCATGCCAGGCACATGTGCTTGCATGGCCATCCTCCTTGGGGGTGATTTCTCATTTTCTCTCTGTCTCTCTGGCAAGTACACATGCCCTATAGTGAAAACTAAAAACAAAAATCAAGACCCAGCCATGATGGCATAGAGGTAGTACATCCCCACGTGATACTGGAGCCACATGGGAGGCTGGGGTTCAGATCCCAGGTCACCTTGAACATGTTAGGCCTGCTCTCAGGTGCCTGTGATCCCAGCTGGCTAGGAGACAGATCGCAGGAAGGCAATACTCTATGGAGAGTGTGTGTCTGCACGCGTGCGTGTATGTCTTTCTCTCAAGAGAAAGCAAACTTTTTTTAAAAAAGTATTTAGCCTTGGGAACCAGCAGTTAGTGTAATGGCTATGTCGCTGGACTCCCACGTAGTCGACCGCGGCTCACGTCCCAGACCCGGTGGCTTAAAACTCACATGACATTAACTTTTTAAAAAATACCATTCTAGGCTAATAATTTTCCTTTTTTAGTTTTCAGACTCAAAAATCTTTGTAATGTAAGAAATTACAGCATGGCAATATAAATTTAAGTCAAAGGGAATCATCATGATTATACTCTATAGAGAGTAGCTTTTGGATAGGATATTGGGAGAGAGGAGAGGAAGAAGGACCCAATATAATTTCTCTAGAGCCTAAACAACCACCTGCCTCTCACCCAGCAATGCTAGGCAAGGAGCTGGATACACAGTTTCCAGTGATCGCCCAGCCCAGCCCCAGCCCTCACGTGGATCCCAGGACCCCACACCAGCAGGAGCGGAGCAGAAAGCACACCCATTTCCCAGCAGGCTGTCAGCCATGGCCCTGACTGTCTCCACCAGCCTGGAAGACACCACCACAGGCTTCACGGTCAGTGCCAACTACAAAGGCGGGCAGTAAAGGGGACGAGCACAGAGGTGCTGGCTCACCACGGCAGGTTCTGCTTGTAACGAAACCCAAGTAGGTCATGGAGGAGCCAAAAACACTGCTTTCAAAGCACTCTTCGTTTTATAAGTCAAAAACAACTGCAAAATCATATGATCTCAAAATAGAAGGCACAAAAAAAATGTCCAGCTACCTGAAAAGGCGGTTTCCCAACGAGGCATTGGTAGATCACTGTCCCTATGCTCCACAGGTCTGCCTTTGCGTCATAGTGTTGAGACATGATGACCTCCGGAGCCTGGTGCAGGAAAGGCCAGGATGCACACACTGTTACTTGCAGTTACTAAGCATACGTTCATCATCTGTAAAGGTCACGTTCCTAACTACTGCAATGTGACAGCTCTCTAAACAAACGAACTGTAATAAAAATAAACTTGGAACTACATTATTATATTAAGATTTACTGGTAAAGCTCAAAAACAAAGCTGCATGCATGAAAAGAAGAAATTATTACAGGCACATAAAGCACAGTGAGAGTATTACAAATAGAGAAAAATTCAGATCAATAATAGGACAGAGGTTCATCCAAGAGCATGAAAGAAGGAAAGGGGACTGTGGAGTCAGGGGAGATTTATAAGAAACCTGAGCTGTCTCTGAAATGCTTCATTCCTTTCTCTTTTATTTGGGGGGGGAAGGTTTTCACTATAGGGCGCGTGCGCTCGCCAGACAGACAGCGAGAGACAGAGAGACAGAAAGCGAGAAATCCCCCCCCAGGGGGGATGGCCACGCCACAATCCCTTCTCCTCCATTCTCCTCTCAGGATCTTGGGCATGCACACACACGTGCCCGGCATGAGTTTAAGCCACCAGGTCCAGGACGGGAACCGTGCGCGAACCATGGTCAACCATATGGAAGTCCAGCGACATAGCTATTATGCCAACTGCTGGTCTCTCATTCCTTTCTTTAAAAAACATCAAGGTGGGACCAGCAGTTAGCATAATGGCTATGTCACTGGACTCCCACGTAGCCGACCACGGTTCGCATCCCGGACCCGGTGGCTTAAAACTCATGCTGGGCGCGTGTGCATGGGTGCCCAAGATCCCGAGAGGAGAATGGAGGAGAAAGGACTGCGGCGTGGCCATCCCCCCTGGGGGGTGATTTCTCGCTTTCTGTCTCTATGTCTCTGTCTGTCTGGCAAGCGCACGCACCCTATAGCAAAAAAAACTCTCAAAAAAAAAAATCACTTTGTCTCTGTCTCTTCAGGGAGTGCATGCCCTCTATAGCAAAAAAATCTTTCTGAAAATAAAAATAAAAATAAAAAATGTCCTGGGCCTGCCAAGTAGTGTGGTGGTTAAGGCAGCTGGCTCCCACGTGGTCAGCTGCACAGTTTGGTCCTGGACCCAGTGGTCTGAAAACCACACCAGTCACATGCGTGTATGTTCATGCCTAAAACTCCAAGAAGAGAGTGGAAAAGAGAGTGCAGCATGTTCTTCCTCCCAGGGGTGTTTTCTCACTTTCTCCCCCCTCCATTTCTCTCCTGCAAGTTAGTGTATGGGCCCTACAGCAAAACTAGAAATAAAATAAAATAAAATGTCCTAAAGGCAAAGGCATTTCTCTGCTGTTTCAAAAGGTATTTTTCCAATTCTCATCAAATGTTGCTTTTTAAATAAACAATAAATCAAGAAAAACATTAAAAAATGTTAAATATATTTAAAGATGATAAAATTTTATTTTCCAGACATATTTTTATTGTCTCTAGTAAGTTTGTAATTGAGTTAATTTCCTTTAATAATCAAAGAAGTCTATCCTATCTACTTTCACACTCAAGAAGTACAAAGTAATTAATTATAAATAGTAAAATTATAAACAAGAAGGCAAATCTAATATTTAAAAGATTCTAACTATGATGACTGGTTTTCCTGATTTTAAAACTGACCTTACTCATAGGTATTCCTAACTGGCCATAAGTCCACCTAAAGCTTAGAACTAAAACAGGCACTTATTTCGCACGACTGTGAAGCTCCAGAGTTAGGTCCAGAGTCCAGGCTACTTCATGCTAGTTCCTAAGTTTTACAGCCTAGCCCTGCTATACCTGATAATAACTATATGGAAAGACAGAAAGAAAAGATACTATTTTTCGACTTTAGAAGTGAGACTGGGACCAGCAAGTAGCGCAGTGGTTAAGGTGCCAGACCTCCCACGTTGCCAACCACAGTCCGAGTTCCAGACCTGGCGGCTTGAAACTCACGCCAGGCATGTGCATGCATGCCCAAAATCTGTCTCTCTGGTGAGTCCACATGCCCTATAGCAAAAAAATCCCCCTTAAAAAAAAGTGAGGCTGATGGAAAAATCTTCTGTACCTTGCCAAGTGAGACAGCATGCCAAAGATGAGCATCACCCAGAGCTGAAGAGGTGCCCCCAAAGGATGTCTTTTAAGCATTCACAACAGCACACATCTACGTACAGCATGAGTGCACTTCATGAATTTTTTTAAGTTACTCTAATAGGAGATTAGATTCTGCCATAACAACCAAGCTTTTTAAAAAATAAACACAAATGGGCAAAAATGATTTACTTTCACAATCCACTCTGTACTGTAGCACTATCAGTAATATAATTATCATCGGTAATAATAACTAACAGTTCAGATGACATATAAAATCACATCTTACGACTTAGAAATGAGCATTATACGCACATTCCAGTGCTTTAGCCACGCGAGGATGCAAACACTCACCATGTACATCGGGGACCCGCACAGGGTTGCAGCCATCATGTTACTGTGTAGGTAACGAGCAAAACCAAAATCCGCTATTCCAAAAAAGAAGTAGAAAAAACAATTATTTCTTTGCTCACACTTAACACAGATTGTATGATTCTTTAGACACAAAAGGAGGCACAAAAGAACTGTAAAAAAACAGCTTATTAAGACTCTCCACCAGGCAGGATGGTTAAGGGAGTTGGACTTCCACAAGGCCGACCATGGTTCGAGTCCCAGACCAGGCAGCTTGCTTTCTCACTTTCTCTTTCTCTCTCTCACTCTGTCCCTCTCTGATTAAAATAAATAAATATAAAGAAAGTTCAATAAAATAATTTTTTAAAATAGTTTATTGATTAAAAAAAAAAAGACTCTCCATCAGGACCAACAAATGGCATAATGTTTATGTCACTGGATTCCCACATGGCCTGAAACTTACACCAGGTGCAGGGGCGTGTATGCCCAAATCCTGAGAAGAGAATAGAGAAGGGACTGTGGCATGGCCATCCCCCCAGGGGGTGATTTCTCATTTTCTGTCTCTCTGTCTCTGTCTCTGCAGTGAATGCATGCATCCTATCTCTCTTTAAAAAGACTGTCCACAAAGAAAAGAGTAAAGACTATTCACCTAAATTTCAACAACCTAAAATAAAATAGCAATTATGGGGGCCAGCAGCCCAGTGATGATTGCATCACTGGACTCCCATGTAATTGACTGCAGCTCAAGCCTTGGACCCTGAGGCTTCAAACTCATGCTGGGTGTGTGTGCGCTCGTGCCCCAAATCCTGAGAGAATGGAGGAGAAGGGATTGCTGCGTGGCCATCCCCCCAGGGGGTGATTTCTCGCTTTCTATTTCTCTGCCGCTCCAGTAAGCACATGCGCCCTATAGCAAAAATCTCTCTTTTAAAAAAAAATAGCAATTATAAATCCTACAAGTAACTGCTCCATTCACTTTGCAATCAAGGAGCACCAAGCTTTGTAAGTGAAGGTACTAACATAGTAAATGGTTCATTAGTAAAGCTCTCATTAGGACCAGCAGATGGTAATTAAGTTACTGGATCCCATACGGCTGACTACACAGTTCTAGTCCTGGACCCGGTGGCTTGAAAAACATGTTGGACGTGTGTGTGTCTGTGTTTGCCCAAAATTCCAAGAGGATAATGGAGAAGGGACTGCAGCGTGGCCATCTCCCCTAGGGGGGAGGGGTAGGTGATTTCTCACTTTACCTCTCACTGTCTGTCTCTCTGTCCCCCAGCACACATGTCCTAAGGCAAAAACCTCTACCAATAAAATTAAGTAAAGCTCTCATTAAATGCCAACATCAGGGCCAGCAGGTGGTTCAAGTGCTGGATTCCCACATGGCTGACCACAGTTCAAGTCTCAGATCTAACGACCTGAAAACCACAGCAGGTACGTGTGTGTGTGCCCAAAATCCCAAGACAATGGAAAAGGGATTGCAGCATGACCATCCAACCTGTGGGGTTTCTCACTTCCCCTCTCTTGGCCCTATGGTAAAAACCTTTTTAAAAAAAAAAAGTCAATACCAGGACCAGCCTGGAGGTCAGGCGCCTGTGAGTGTATGCCCAAATCCCAATGGGAGGAGAAATGGAGGAAAAAGGACTGCAGTGTGACCACATCCCACTGGAGGATGCTCATTCTCTCTCTCTGACAAGCGCCTGTACGCTTTGGCAAAAACAAACAAACAAAAAAAAAAAAACACACAAAACACAAACAAATATCAACACATCTGTGTAAACAGTTTTTTCCTTACCAATTGTTTCAAATAAATTTTTAGATACAGGAGCACTAAGCGACTGCCGAAGGCTGAACTAGGTGAGCTCAGAGCCCCACGTCAAAATCCCATGGGCTGTACAGAAGCAGGAGGATTAATTGGCTGCCAGTAACTGTATTACATCAGCTTCCCTCTGGAGAGAAGCAGAGCTTGCTGTGGGGATTCAAAGGCAGACTAGCTCCCGGTATGGGCGCCCTGGCCCTGTCTGAGACTTAGCAAATGCTGCCAGTGATGTACAGGTTTCACATAACTGAACGGACCTCACTGAACTCAAAAACATTTTCAAAATTTTGGGATCAGCAGAGGGCGTAACTGTTATGTCACTCAACTCCTATGTAGTCAACAGTGGTTCGAGTTCTGGACCTGGTAGCTTAAAACTCACGCCAGGCGCATGTGCGTGCGTGCCCAAGATCCTGAGAGGAGAATGGAGGAGAAGGGACTATGGCATGGCCATCCCCGCTAGGGGTGATTTCTTGCTTGCTGTCTCTCTGTCTCTCTCTGTCTCTCCAGCAAGAGCATGTACCCTACAGCAAACATCTTTCTAAAAAAAATTTCATCTATAAAATCTGTCATTCTAACAAAGCTAAACTAAAAAAAAAACACTAGGTTTCAGGCTGGCTCCTTGGTATAGTGATAATGTACTCCTTAAGAAAAGACAAATTCGCTTGGCTACTAATGAGTTTGAATGCCCAGCCTGGTGACCTCCAGCAGGAGTGTGGCCATGCTTCAAAAGGCTGGAGCGGGAACCAGCAGTTAGCGTAATGGCTATGTTGCTGGACTCCCACGTAGTTGACCGCGGTTGGCGTCCCAGAACCGGTGGCTTAAAACTCACGCCAGGCGCATGTGCGTGCGTGCCCAAGATCCTGAGAGGAGAATGGAGGAGAAGGGATTGCGGCGTGACCATCCCCTCTGGGGGCTGATTTCTCGTTTTCTGTCTCTCTGTCTCTCTCTCTGTCTGTCTGGCGAGCGCACGCACCCTATAGCGAAAACCTCTCAAAAAAAAAACAAAAGGCTGGAGCAAGAGAATCACGTGACTAGAACCAGTGTATATGTCTATCTTACTCTAACATGGGGGTGCATTATCAGGAATAAAGAATAAGTATGTATACTGTGTCTTGGCCTAGCTGCTTTAGTGCAGCTATAATGCAGTACCCTGCAAGGCTGGAAGTCACGTGGCTGACTGCTGGGTCAGCCTAAAAACACCTTGCACACACAGGTGCCCAAGGTCCTGAGACCGAGGGCTGGGGAAGGGGATTGCAGTGTGATGAGACTCTGCTGCTGACGGCACTCCTCTTCCTCGCTCTCGTACGTGCGTGCACATGCACACTTGCACATGTTCTGTCATAACACAAAGAAAATTTAAACCACTGAGTCTCAAAAAAATCCTTTCTATGAAACAAAAGGTGGCCATTTACCTATTTTGATGCGAATACCACTGATGCTTGACTTCCTGCGACTGGTGTAGGACAACAAGATGTTCTGTGGTTTGAGATCCCGGTGGATGATCCCTTTGCTGTGAAGGATGCGCATGGCGGCTGCGATCTGATGCAGAAACACTCTGATGGTATCTTCGCTGAGAGTTCCTTTAGCTGGCAGAAAGGAGTCACATAAATATTTAAGCATACAAATCAAATACCATCTGTAAATTCCACCAACAGAATTGAGTTGTGAAGGGAATAAGGGACGAGGATTCACATTTATTCTTTTTTTTTTACATTAATAATTGAAGTCTATGAAGAGGTATCAGGTTTCTCGACAACTGCAATCAATCTGCTGGACAGAGAACTGACCTGCATTTTCATCTTTTGTTTGCACAGCACCTTTGCTTCTCCTTTCCCATTTTTACTTCTGAAGCTGCCCACATTACTCGGAACACAGTAGGTGTTCAGCAAAAGAGAGCAAAATCTCTTTTACAAATTAAAAAATAAGTTCCCCAGGGAGACCAGCAGGTGGCGTGGTGGTTAGAGCGCTGGACACTCCTAGAGCCGACCGCGGTGCAAGTCCTGGATCTGGCGGCTTGCTTTCCCACTTTCCCTCTGCTCGCTCACTCACTCTCTCTCTCTCTCATCAAATTAAAATAAATGAATAAATAAAACTGAATAAATAATTCTTAGAAAAATAGTAAGTTCCCTTTCATATCAGTCAAATGTCTGGGACAAACGTCCAACCATCACACACACACAAATTAAAAACCGGTGAGATCCTTGAACAGACAGAGAGGCCTGGACACTGCTGTCACCAGCACTGCCAGGGGTCTGGGTCCTCACATCTTCTCTTACCTTCGCTCTCTTGCTGCTCCAGCACCCCCATCCCACCACAGGATCTTTTATAACTACAGACACCTTTCAGAAGTATTTCTTTTTTGGGGAGGTTTTTGCTATAGGGCGTGTGTACTCACCAGAAAGACAGCGAGACAGAAAGCGAGAAATCACCCCCCCGGGGGGATGCCCACGCCACAATCCCTTCTCCTCCGTTCTCCTCTCAGATCTTGGGCATGCACGCACATACACCCGGTGAGTTTAAGCCACTGGGTCCAGGACTCAAACCACGGTCGACTACATGGGAGTCCAGCGACATAGCCATTATGCTAACTGCTGGTCCCAACACCTTTCAGAAGTATTTTAAGCTATCTCACTACTACATAGAGGGAACATAAAATCATTTAGGGGTGGTCACGACCCAGTGGAGCTGGGGCACTTCTGTGCAGGCTGGATCATGTAACAGCCAACAGCCTGGTCTGGAGTCAGGCTATCTTGGCTCAAAACCCAGCTCCTCTGCTCACTGCATGACCGGGAAGACGACCCCTCTGTGCCCACATCCTCATCTATAAAAGCCTAATAAGAGACTAACCACATGAGGCTGTTATGATAATTAAACAAGAAAAAACATTTAGGGTTGGCTCAGTTGTGCAGTGTATAGGAAGTGGGATCCCACATGACCAACCACAGTTGGAATTTCAGCCCCAGTGGCTTGAAAACACAACAGCCGTGTGTGTGCGTTCCCTAAGTCCCACAAGACAGAAAGATGGAGAAGGGGTTACGGCATGACCACACCCCACTGGAGGGTGCTTTCTCCCTCTCTCTATCTGGCAGGCACACAGACCCTCTGGCAAATGAGAAAAAAATAATTAAAGAAGACTTTAGAGAAAGTACCTAATATACACTTAAACACAGAAAGTACACAAATAAAGACCTTTCATTGATGTCAAAGTCACAAGTATAATTCTTTGAATCTACTCAAAGGATTCACTATCCAGAAGCTTTTTTAACCCTTTGTGAGCATACTTATGTCCATGTAATTCTTAGAATATGTTTGACTTTTCCATTTGTACTTAAGAAAAATAAAACTAATAATACCTGAAACAAGTGAAATACGGTTTAAAAATCATTTTTGATGACGTGTTAAGGGACATTTAATGTCCTTAACATTGTCAAAACAAATAAATCTCCTTGGTTAAAAGCAATGCTTTTTTTCTGTAAGGGCTGTTTTTAACCTATCTCTCTCCTTTTATAATTTTTGGGTTCTTTACCTGAGGCTCACTGTAAAAAAAATTTAAAAGAGCAAAATCTTCTATAACCTGTCCCTTGGAGATAAACACTGTTAAGCATTTGGAGTGAATTCTTCCAAGATCTGCTTCCTTGCAGATACCAACATATATTTTTGCTTATGTGTGGGTGAGTCAAATTACTGGGATTTTGTTTTTGTAACATATTGCTTAAATCACATTGCGATAACTAAAATGGCTAGTATATTTTTTCCCATTTCATTCACTTACAGAATTTCCATTTTAGAGCTTAGAATAATTTTGCTACTTTAAAATGACTGCAAGTGCTTATGTCTTTGCCCCATGACGTACTAATGGACGTACATAAAGTTTATCCAATTCAGAATCCAAATTCTAAAACTATTCCCATGGGGAGAAATGTCATAATTCGTTCATGAGCACATGCTATAGTAAAAATGTATCAGCTTTCAACATAATCCCAGGAACTGCAATTCTCACATTAAAAACAAAATTGTAAAGGTATTTCCAACATCCCAACTCCCTCAAATGCGTTCCTGAGCAAGTTAACACTGAGAAAGTAGGCTTCCCCATAACTGCCACACTTGTAACTACAAGTGACAATAAAGTACAACTTACTAATAGCTTAGAAGGTGTTCTACTTCAAACAAACTACAGTTGATAGAATTTACTTTCTACCTTTTGAAAACATGAAAGGCATTTTTATTCATCAGAGTAAACTGAAAAACCATGAGACTGGCCCTGCAGCGCAGCAGTTGTGCTGGATCCCACATAGCCAACCAGAGTTAGAGCCCCAGCTCCAGGGGCTTGAAAAGCACACGATGGCTGTGAACGCACACGCTTGTGTGCCCTGGTGAAATGGCGAACTGGAGGAAGGAGGACTGTGGTGTGACGGGGCTGGGCTGCACTGGGGGGTGTGCTGGCTCATGCACACTCCCTCGTGCCTAAAGGACGGACTAAATGACCACACTGTAATACAATGCACCCGCCCTCAGAGACATTCCAGACCTCTCAGACCAGTGCTCGCCAACAGAAATGTAACGTGAGCCACACATGTAACTTATCTTCTACAGGCTACATTTTTTTAAGATTTATTTTTTATTTTTATTTTTTTCAGGTTTTTTTGCCATAGAGCATGGGTGGTCACCAGACACAGACTGGGAGAGGAGAAAGTGAGACATCACCCCCCCAGGGGTGGCCACACAGCAATCCCTCCTCCTCCTCCCAGAATTCTGGGCATGCCCACACACGCATCTGCCATGACTTTCAAGTTGCCAGGTCTGGGACTCAAACCACAGTTGGTCATATGGGAGTACCCTAGTGGCTGCATTTTAAAAAGCGAAAAGTGGGACCAACAGGTGGCATGGTGGTGAAGGTACTGGATCCTACATGGTCAACTTTGCAGTTTGAGCCCTGGACCCCCTGCCTTGAAAAACATGCCAGTGCATGTGCATGCATGCCCAAAATCCAGAAAGCAAACTGGAGACAGGACTGTGGTTTGACTATCCCCTGGGGAGGTGACTGCTCACTTTTCCTCTGTCTCTGGCAAGAGCATGGGCCCTATGGCAAAAACCTAAAAAAGAAATCTAATCACGTTTTTCTGATTAAGTATTCAAACTCTAGTGTGTGTTTTACTCTTTCGTTATTTGTTTTTGTAGAGATTTTTGCTATAGGGCACATGCGCTCACTGGAGAGACGGAGAAAGACTGAGAGACAGAAAGCGAGAAATCAGCCCCCGGGGGGATGGCCACACCGCAATCCCTTCTCCTCTACTATCCTTTCAGGATCTTAGGCACATATGCATATATGCCCGGTTTGAGTTTTAAGCCACCAGGTCCAGGACTCGAACCGCAGACGACTACATGGGAGTCCATTTCGTAACCATTTCACCATCCGTGGTCCCGCATTTCACTCTTACACATCCCTATCTGCCACATTTTTAGAGCCCCATGTGTTCAGTTGCTACAATTCCTAAGGACCAGAATTTCTTTGACATGCCTTTTAGAAACGTTTGCAAACCACAAGAGATTCCCTGGACTATGGCAGGGAGACCAAGAGGTCAAAAACAAAATCTCACAGCAAGGGAGTGATGTAGGCACTGGAACCAGAAGCCCACGTGCTCAGGCTGACTCCGACGTCCAAGTCCCTAAGCTTGTCACCGCTCGGTGGCATGTCCCAATTACGCTGCTCCAGAATGTCAAATGCGGGGCTCCACGGGACAGGGCTGCTGCTGGCGCTGACTCTGCCACACTACTACATCAGCAGCACCCCTGCTAATGAAACGAACTGCCTAGTGAGGGCTCTGTGCTGTCAGTGCCCCTCGTCTGACCCAGTGAAGGTGTGCTCACTGGGACACTAAGGAGGTCAAGGGACTCAACACTCAGAAGGAGACAAGAGGGCACAGCAAGGTGCTTTCTAACTCAATTCCCTCCCACTGGCAGTGAGTGAAAGTGCCAGTTCCCTGCATTCTGTCTACTAATAACTGACTCTTTTTTTTTTACTTAACAGATTTTTTTTCTCAATCACCAAATGTAAGGCAACAGTTATCTCTAGGGTAGAGACAGGAATGGGACTGCAGAAGGGCTTACAGGGAGCTCTGCCTGCATTTATAATTCCCTTATTTATAGAATTTGTAATACCCAGTGGGGGACACATTCCAAGACCCCAGTGAATGCCTGATATTGGCTTTTCCTATACATGAATACCAATGATATAGATTAATTGATAAATTGAGCACAGGAATAGATTAACCACAACAAAAAAATAGAACAATTATAACAACGTACCATAACAAAAATCATATGAATGCGGTCTCTCTCAAACTATCTTACTGTACTGTATCTTACTGTACTATTTTTAGATCATGTCAACAGCAGGTATCTGAAACCAGAAAGTGAAACCACAGACCAGAGAAGGACTGCTGTGCTCCATACTGTAGAGATTTTTAAAGTCTCACTCTGAACTGTGCTCCCTGATTACTGGTGAAACAACCTTTTTACATGTTTTCTTCTGAAACCTGTCCATACCTTCTCTGTGAGTTTTCGTTGCAGTCTCGGCGCTTTCCTCATCAAATGCCATCATCTGTTTATAGGCCGAATGAAGTAGTCTTGTACTGTCTTTCTGCATGTTTCCCCTGCATCTTTTCTGTGCTGAACAAGTCAAGGCTGGCCTCATTTACTGCAGCACCATTAAAAAGTAAATACTTAGAGGGACACAAGTTGGGGCCAGCCCTGTAGTGCAGTGGTTAAGCCCTGCACATAGGAAGCCAGATCCCACAAGGCCGACCTCGGTTTGAATCCCAGACCCAGTGGCCTGACAGGATGGAAAACCGGAGGAAACATGACTGCATTATGACCACACCTCATTGAGGGGTGCTTTCTCTCTCCCTCACTTTATGCCACAATAACTTTAATGTTATACCTCTTACCCCTTATGGTGATGCTGGGTGTTTTGTTTTAATTACAAGAAAGATTTCTTGGATACTTTCTTCCATTATGATTTTTTCATTTTGAAAGAAATGCACAATATTAAAGGTTCATGGATGATGGCAACCAGTGCAGCCTTTTGAAAGAGAGGTCCTGGGGACCAGCAGTTAGCCTAATGGCTATGTTACTGGACTCCCATATGGTCAACTGCGGTTCAAGTCCTGGACCCAGTGGCTTAAACTCACGCCGGGCACATGTGTGTAAGTGCCCAAGATCCTGAGAGGAGAATGGAGAAGGGATTGCAGCGTGGCCATCCTCCCTGGGGGGTGATTTCTCACTTTCTGTCTCTCTGTCTCTCTCTCTGTCTTTCTGGTGAGAGCATGCGCCCTATAGCAAAAACATCCTCCAAAAATAAATAAATAAATAAATAAATAAATAAATAAATAAGAAAGAAAGAAAGAAAGAGAAGTCCTATTGGTTTCTCCTCCCCTGGGAAGATCACCCATGTCTCAAAAGCTGTCAGAGAGGCCGGTAAAAAGTTAAGTACTTATACACGAGTAAGGTTTAAGAACAAAACCACAACAAACAAGAGTTGGTCAGCAAAGTGACAAGTTAAATACATCAATATTTATTGAATATTTCTATACAAGTGCAGGAGACAGGAGAAGAGTATTTCAAGAGTACCTGTCAGGAATGAACAGGCTGCAGTCCTACCTTTACTGAACACTGACACACACACAAAATTACCTTGCAAATAATCTGCCAGGTCTCCACCATTGCAATACTGACATAAGAAAGAAAAAGTAATTAAAAATAAGGATATAGGTTCAAGATGAATTCAATACATTCTCAGTATATTATAATTAAAAAGTCACTTCCTAAATATAAATCAAGTGCAGGCCCAGCCTGATGGCATAGCCAGCTGCGCACTGAACTCAGTGCTGGAAGCCATTGAGCTGGACAAGGGTTTCGGTCCTTATTCCAAGTGACCTAAAACATGCCAGGCACATACATGTGTGTCGAAGATCTTGATGAGCTACAGGGCTGGGAGAAGGGAATTATGGCATGACCAGACCCTGCTGGTGAGGCTCTCTCTCTTTCTCTTTCTCTTGTGCATGTACCCACACCCTCTATCATGAATAAAATAAACTTAGAACAATCTAGGGCCAGCAGATAGCATGGTAGTTAATGTGGCTGGACCCCACACGGCTGACTGTGAGATCTCAAAGACATACTAAGCTTGTGTTCATGCCCAAAATCCCAACGGAGAGACAGAGGAGGGACTGTGGCATTCCCATCACTCCTGAGGGGTGTTTTCTCACTTTCCCTCTTCTCTGTCTCTGTCTGGTGAGAGCATGCGCCCTCTAGCAATTAAGGGGAAAAAAAAAATCTAGTCTCGGAACAATCTGTGTAGTGGTGGTTCAGGAGGCTGGATCCAAAATGGCCAAACTGTGCAGTTTGAGTCCCAGACCTGGTAGCTTGAGAAACACAACAGGCACATATGTGTGCATGCTTAAACCACAAAAGGAGGGAGAAATGGAGGAGGGATTGTGGCTTGGCCATCTCCCGTGCTTTCTCGCATTCTCTCTGTCTCTCTGTCTCTCCAGCAGGCACATGTGCTCCTCTGGCAAAAATGAAAAACCAAACTAACAAAAGCCAAAAAAAGCCTAGTCTAAAAACATCAAATTTTTTAAATTTTATATTATTTATAAGAGAATCTAGATCATGACTTATGTTCAAACTTTCAAGTAATAACTTATTGTCAATTTTAAAGTACTTATTAATCCAAAGGAATTTGAAATAAATTAGACAGAAGTTGTACACAACATACCTCCATCACCAGAAAGACAGAATTAGGTAATTCCTGAAAAGTAAACATATTAAATATCATTTAGATTAAGGAAAAACATCAAAATACAAATTTCTAAATGATAATAAAAATATACTTGTTCATTATTAAATTGGTATAATGAAATCACAAAATGTATTAGAAAGTGAAATTAAGATTCCCAACATAATGATTTCAACATCTCCTCTTCAAAGCCACATCAAATTTTGATAACATCAATGTAGTCATCAAGAAGTTCACTTCTGTTTATGGAAAGGACCTAAAGAGTGATTCCTTTGGCTATCACTGACCTATAACAACATCCAAGACAAAAAACATGGTAAATTTACCATTTGTGAAAAATGAAGGGTTCTCTGAACCTTAGGAAAGCACTCACATTTGAAAAGTCTGATTTGGAGCAGCAAATGACTTTTTTTTTTTTTTTTTTTTTTTGAGAGGTTTTCGCTATAGGGCGCGTGTGCTCGCTAGACAGACAGAGAGAGACATAGAGACAGAAAGCAAGAAATCACCCCCCGTGGGGATGGTCACACCGCAATCCCTTCTCCTCCATTCTCCTCTCGGGATCTTGGGCATGCATGCACACATGCCCGGCATGAGTTTTAAGCCACCAGGTCCGGTTTGCAAACCGTGGTCGACTACGTGGGAGTCCAGCGACATAGCCATTACGCTAACTGCTGGTTCCTGAGCAGCAAATGACTTTTAATCCTCCTTAGCAACACTGAATGCACAGCCTGATTTCTGGAGCACAAGACCCAGGATGCTCAGGTTTCTCACTTTTCTGGTATTTAGGCTTATTTGGGGTAATTGCATAGTCAAGGAGTTACTGGCAAGGAGAAGACATGCCATCACATGTTGCCAAGACATGTTTCAAGATTTTAGGGAACTGATTTGGGGACTCTTCAAAGTCTCTCGGATTCAGATACAGTAACTCCAGGTCTGCTGCTTGGGTAACAGCCCGACTGGGGGCTCGTCAATAACGACAGTGTCACCCACATTTTAAACTGGGCTTCTCCGTGCCTTAACCTGAACCAGTGAGCACACATGTCCCGAATACAGCTCTTCCAAGAGCGCGCGGCTGGCTCCACTAAGGCCCTACAAGGATGAGGTGCTCTTGGGGGCAAGGAGAGGAGGCGAGCAGGAGGACGCCTGGAATAGCACTGCTCCAGGTGCAGTTTAAGGTAAGAGTTAAGAATCTGAGAAGGCTTACAGCAATTTGACAAAATAATTTCATGTGCTGAACCTAATAAAAAAAACCCTTTTGGGGGGAACCAGCAGTTAGCGTAATGGCTATGTCGCTGGACTTCCACGTAGTCAACCGCGGTTCGTGTCCCGGACCCGGTGGCTTAAAACTCACGCCGGGCGCGTGTGCGTGCGTGCCCAAGATCCCGAGAGGAGAATGGAGGAGAAGGGATTGCGGCGTGACCATCCCCCCTGGGGGGTGATTTCTTGCTTTCTGTCTCTATGTCTCTCTGTCTGTTTGGCGAGCGCACGCGCCCTACAGTGAAAATCTCTCAAAAAACAAACAAACAAACAAACAAAAAAACCCTTTTGGGGGCCAGGCCACAGGGTGCAGCACACTCCCTCGTGCTCTTTCTCTCTCCATGAGCTTTCTAAAATTAAAAAAAAAAAAAAAAAAAAAAGCCAGGACTGTAATGTAGTGGTTAAGCTTCCAGTGCAGAGAGCTAGATCCCACATGGCTGACTGCAGTTCAAATCCCAGCCCCAACAGCTTGAGAAACATGCCAGGTACATGACTGTACATGCCCCAAATACTAAAGGAACAGAAAAACGGAGAAGAGCTTGCAGCATGACCACACCCTGGAGGGGGGAGGGTGTCTCTCTCTCTCTTCAGTGAGCATACATGCCCTAAAAAAAAAACTAAAAAAAAAAAAAAAAAAAATCACTTTGGACATCTATTTGGAGGCCCTTTTTTATTTCATCTTTATACTAGCTGATTTTTACTGGATTTTACTGAAGTATCAGATTAACACTACAGCGCAGTGGTTCTTGACAGCTAGCCTAAAGCCCTTGCACACAGGGAGGAACAACCGAGGGACTGCCACAGCCCTGACTCCCCACATCAACCGAGGGGCTGGACTCCCTTGAATTCAAGACCTGAATGTTCAATTACTGCTTTAGTGACTTAGTGATTTAGTTCACCGAGGACTGGGTAAAAACTGAAACACATCCTACGTGAGCTCTGAGCCCAGGGGTTCACTCTCCCAGCTCTGCTGCAGCAGGGTCAGCAGGACCTCCCACCCAGGGCCAGCCAGCCTGTGGCTGCAAGCCTGAGCACAGGCAGGGCTCCCCACAGCAGCACGCCCAAGCTCATCGGGAGGGAGGCGGAACAGCCAGCTCCCAGCAGGTGGGAGAGCAAGTCTGTAAGAAATAAACACTCCTCACATCGGAGACAAAAACGACAAAAACTCTGTGTCTAAGAATTACATCATCTCTACTTTGAACTAGATAATTTTCCACAAAACCTGATCAAATTCAGACAGACATAGTCTAGAATCCCTAAAAATACGGAGAAATCTTTAAACACTGACAACTTGAAAAACATTTTCTTCTTGGGGCCGGCAGGTGGCGTGGTGGTTAAGGGCGCTGGACTCCCACATGGCTGACCATGGTTTGAGTCCTGGACCTGGCAGCTTGCTTTCTCACTTTCTCTCTCTCTCTCACTCTGTCCCTCTGGGGTCAAATTAAGAAATATAAATAAATAAAGTTAAAAAAAAATTTTTTTTTTAATATTTTCTTCTTCTTTATAAAGCACAAAATATTATCTCTCATCACTTTTGTTTCATCACGCAATAGCAATATATCCAAACTACTGAAGGAAAAAGAGCTGGGAATTCTTATGAAGTGGCAAAATAGTCATAAATGACTCAGTATTCACAGTTTTGGAGTACAGATAACACTCAGTTTTCTTCACTCACTCATTCAATTGTTCATTCAATAAATTACAAATGTAACAAATATTTTGACATCCTGCCTACTCATGCAAACCTTCCTGCCTACCCTCAGGGCGATGAAAATCTCTACAGATTTATTTATTTATTCTTTCTTTCTCTTTTTAAATTTTGCCAGAGAGCACATGCAGTGAGAAAGAGAGGGAAGGCAGAAAGCACCTCCTAGGGGAATGGTCATGCCACAATGCCTTCTCCTCCATTTCTCCCTCTTTCTGGAATCCTTGGCGCACACGTGCCTGGCATGTTTCTCAAGCCTCCAAGTTCAGGACTCAAACCGTATGGTCAGCCACATGGGGTCCAGCTATCCCGACCACCACGCCACAGGCTGGCCTCATTCTCTCTTGAGCAGCCCCCGTCACGAGCCCTCTTTACAAAGTAGTACACTTTTTCTTTCTTTCTTTCTTTCTTTTTTTTTTTTTTTTTAAAAAAAAACAGCACTGAAGTAATCTGGAGCATGAGTAATCACAAGAGCAAGAAAAGAGCAGAAGAAAAAGTGCTCTTTTTTAACAGAACCAATGAAGTCATCCAGACAAACTGAAACCCAAATGGCACTGGAGCAGCAGGTAAGCGCTCGCTCAGGAGACACCTGCAGCATCAGAGACCCGAGAGACGCCCACATCAGCTGAGAGCCACACCAAAGGGGCGGCCACGGTGCCACACCTGCACAGCCTCCTGGCCTAACATGGAGAAACCCTCCTTTCCACTCTCCCTAGCACCTCCATCAACAAGACTAAAGACAGAGGAACTTCATTCTATCATCTCCCTACTTATGCTCCGTAATAGCAGAGATAAATCTGCTTCCTACAGGACAAAGTGCATCATCACCGTAAACAATTGTGTGTCAGCACATGAATTCACATGAAATCAACAAATTAGAACACACTTTGGTGTTGGTGCCAGCAGGTGGCATGGTGGTTAAGGCGCTGGGCTCCCACATGACTGAAAGTGGCTCAAGTCCTGGACCAAGAGGCTTAAACATCACACCAAACATGTGTGTGTGTGTGCTCAAGATCCCAGAAGAACAGATTGTAGTACGGCCACCTCCCCACCTCCCCTCAGGAAGTGACTTCTCACTCTCCCTCCCTCTGTCTCTTCAGCAACCTATGTGCCCTATGGCAAAAAAAAAAAAAACCACTTTAGTGAAAAACAAACTACACAAACTGACAAAAAATAGAGAATTTGAAAAGATTCGTTTTCTATTAAAGAAACCAAATTGTAATTAAAAACTTTCCCACAAAGAAATTCTCAAGTGACAATGTAATTAATCAAAATCGGGGGGTAGGGAGGGGAGCAGCAGGTGATATGGCAGTTACAGCCCTGGACTCCCATAGAGCCGACTGCAGTTCGAGTTCTTAACCTGGCAGCTTGAAAACAGTGGGCACGTGTGCATGGCATGCCCAAAATCCCAAGAGGAGAATGGAGGAGAAGGGACTGCATGGCTGTCCCCCACCGAGGGAGGTGGTGGAGGAGGGGAGTGTGAGTTCTCACTTTCCCTCTTTGTCTCTCTCCAGTGAGAGTGCACACACCCATGGCAAAAAAATAAATAATAATAATAATTTTAAAAAGTCTAAGTCTTTCTTTTTGAGGTTTTTTTGTTTTGTTTTGTTTTGTTTGCTATAGGGCACATACACTTGCCAGAGAGACAGAGAGCAAGAAATCACCCCCCAGGGGGAATGGCCATGCCATAATCCCTTCTCCTCCGTTCTCCTCTCAGGATCTTGGGCACGCACGCACACGTACCTGGCGTGAGTTTTAGGTCACTGGGCCCGGGACTCGAACCATGGTCGACTACATGGGAGTCCAGCAACATAGCCATTACGCTAACTGCTGGTCCCCAAAAGTCAAAGTCTTGAAGAACACACAACAATGGTTTCTTCTGGAAAAAGGAAATAAAGACATGTAAGAAGAGAGCATCTATTTTTGTTTTATTTACTTCTAGAGCATTTGAAATGTTTTACACTGAGGGTCTATGACATTTCTAATTTTAAAAAATATATACAGGGGGAGCTGGCAGGTGGCATGGTGGTTAAAGGCTCTGGATTCCCAT